GAGCGATGCGTCGGCGAATCAAACTCCCGCCACTTTCAAACAGCGTCCACTGTCACGTGACACTGTTTGAAAGTGGCGGGCTTCCTTTGAACGTTGGGTCCCGCCACTATTGAGTCGCTGGTACATCGTTCGACTCGCTGGTACATCGTTCGATTCGCTGGTGCAACGCGTTCGAGCGATTCGCTAGCGAATCGCTCGATTCGCAAACTATGACATCGGCCTTACACCCACCCCGCGGCTTCCCTCCCCTGAAAAAAGTGGATTACTTCATGCAATATGAACTGTTGCACCACATGCCCCCTTACTGGATGAGACCCGTACAGAGTGTATGAATAATCAGACTAGTGAATCAAGCAGTTCTACCTAGTATTGCAAAGAATGACGCAATTTTTCGCAACGTGACTCGCTGCGCATATACTGCTCCAATCTGAAAAATGAGCGCGGCCGCCCACGTTGTGAAATTTCGACGTCACTTTTCATTTGCGATAGTTGCTGGTGCGTTTGTTGATCTTTTTATCATCCTTGGTTAATTGCTTTCCACATCAAATCAATAAGCCATATCGACAGTTTTCAGTCGAACCGTAGCGCATTTTGAATTCGATCAAAATGGTGCTGGATATGGACCTGTTCCGTGAGGAAAAAGGTAATTTTAATGTGTTCTGAGTTGATAGACTTGTTATAATCCTTGTTTTTGTTTATATTTCTTTGTAATTGTACTTTTATTGCCACTTTTTTACCCATTCATTAATGTAATACGCATTTTGCCGTAAACTCAAAGTTCTTTGGCTGCATAATTCCTTAGGCCGTGTTCATGGTTCGCGACTTCGAAGATTAAGAAAGTGCGCTATATTGATCCATTTGCCTGAAGATGCCTGATCTTCTACTCTCCAATGATTTCAATCGATACGCATTAGTCTTGTTAGCGCACTATCCTACTTTACTACTATCCTGATGTACTGTCACCTACTACCTTAATCTCCCATGTAGCGGTCTATGAAAGGGAAAGTGAAAGGTGAACAGCTATTCTCCCAAGGTGGCTGAAGTGAACTCATTAGTAGCAATCATCACGAAGAAGCAGCTCACCTCCGGCGTTTTGTCGTAAACTTCTTCCTTCGAAAAGCCCTTAGTACTTGCGATAAGAATTGACGCGGCGTACTTTCAAATTTTGGTGAAAGTCGTGGTTCCATGATTTCCATTCCCTTCGTGCTGGTTCTTTAGGAGTCGTGCGTAGAATGCTCCTTTCATTCCCTTTTCATGTCCCAACCGCTTAGCATTTTACAAGTAAGAGATGACTTTTCGTTTGCCGAAAACCCGATATCTTCCATCTGTGGTCGCGCCACGAAGCTCGTTAGTGGACACTTGGAAATCTCCAGTGAGAGCGGACCCAGTGAACCAGATTCGCGGAAAGGTCAAATGGGGAGCTACCTCCTCTCGAGCAAACCTTCGGCTCTTCAGTACTGTTATTTACATGCCTGCCCACGCTTTCGAGGTTGCAATTCAGGTGCACTGATAGGGAGAAGGGAGAAATTTCGGCGCGGAAGTCCGTATACGTAATACGCAAGAAGTAAAGACCAAGTGCTATGAATGGAAAGATAAGTAGTTAAAATGAAACAGTCAAGTGAAAAATGTTCCTAGCTTCCACTGTGAGAGAGTGAATGAATGTCCGCTTTTCATCACCACTACTCGTCGTTTTACTCGAAATCTTACTTCTATGCTAAGATAACCTTTACGCATTGAACATTGCTGAAATTGCTCTGTGACATTTCCGTTTTTGTTCATTTACAATACAAAATTCACGGGTGTGAGGTGCGGCGGCGCTCCCAAAATCGCGTTCGTCCACACGCGACCGAAAAGTGGAGAAAGGGGTTGTCATGAATATGTTCATTGCCTTGGATGCAAGCACGAGGCTATCGGAAGATAGTGAGAAAATGTACCGATTTTCATTCATGAGCTTCGACTCAGTTTATTACAGTAAAATCTTATGTTTAAGGAGGGAATCCTGAGCTTATTCGAAATTCCCAACGACAGCGATATAGTGACCCATCGATCGTCGACAAAGTCATTGAGCTTGATCAAGCATGGCGAAAAGGTTTGTGATACTTGTAGTCCTTTTAGTTTGGTTATTTCTTAATAATTCAGCCCTGTATGGATTACTCTGTAACTTCTTTCATCTTTCAGAGCGATTTCTTCTGGACGTTTTGAATCGCCAAAAGAATGTGCTGAGCAAAGCCATAGGAGAGAAAATGAAGGTACGCTGCTAGAAGTCATTCGCTTTCATACGCTTTTATTTGTCATAATTGCAGAAGAAAGAAGCTCAGGGGACTGACGAAAATGTTGACGGTTCAATCATCTCACAATTGGAATCTCTTAAAAATGGAGGATCTCAGCGTATGTCCGAGTACGTTTTCAAAGACGGTCGCCCTTTCCTATACAACAATTTTTCAGGCACTCACGGTAACCCAAATCAAGAAGCTGCGCGTATTGCTTGATGAGAAGATGAATGATACGAAGGTTTGATCAAGTTGCAGCTCACAACTCCGTACGTGTAAATATTAGCCGTTCCAGTTGGTGAGTTCAGGTGTCCATGGAACAATTGGAGGAGGATCGGCACCAGTCGCTGATTCAAATCGGGAATATTGTCCACCATAGTGTTCCTGTGTCGGACGATGAGGCCAATAACAGAGTTGAGCGCACTCACGGTGATATCACAAGTCGAAAAAAGTATTCCCATGTACGTTATCTTATCACCTTATTTCCGAACTCTGATTTGCTTACTCGTTCTTTCTAGGTTGATCTCGTTGTCATGATTGATGGTTTTGATGGTGAACGCGGAACTACAGTTGCAGGGTGGTAGAGGCTATTTTTTGAAAGGACCTCTAGTTTTTCTTGAACAGGCCATTATCCAGCTGGCTCTGCAGAAGTGAGCTTGAAAGTTTTGGTGGTTATGCGATTTGTGCTTTCTTCAATACGTATTTATAGGTTGGGCGAGAAAGGGTTCACTCCGCTTTACACACCTTTTTTCATGCGTAAAGAAGTCATGCAGGAAGTAGCTCAGTTGAATCAATTCGACGAGGAGTTATACAAGGTTTGCATGTGCAGAATTTTTTTCTGTATTCTTCTTTTAAATAACATAGTGAACACATGATTCGTGAGTGTAGAACATGGAAGAATGACTTTCACCGTTCAGAACTGGGAGCTGATTTTTGGTAGAAAATGAACGAGAGGGAATGTCTGCTGTTTTGGGAGTTCTCAATCAAACGTATTACTGGTGTGACTGCTGTTTACTCAACGATCACATGCATCGGTTTTGACTTCATGGAGTTCAGGACGATTCTCTTTATATTATTCTTTTTCGCTCTTACCTTGCCATTTTCAAAGAAGTCTACGATTGAAAACGGAAGTATTTTTGAATCAGTTGCTGCTTGGGTAGTGACATGGTGCACCACGCGGCCAGCAGAAATGAACTCTCAACATCTTTCACGCTCTGAAATGTGGTTACACTATCGGGTCTTAAAAGCAACATTCATTTTATTACTCATCAAGCTGGTAGCTTATTGAGTTCCAGTGAAAAAAGACGAAAATATACGAATCTACGATGTACAGTTATGGAAGACATCGGTGAATGAGTTGTTTCAGGACGAGTGCCTAACTTTCTTACCCTTTTTTTTGAAGAGCTCGCAAATATTTCTGCTCACTGAACTTTCTTGTTTCTTAACAATTTTTGGTCATTTAATGTTTGTGGGTTTTTGAAATACTCATAGAATGAATTTTCACCTTTGAGAGACTACTATCTGTTCGTTTTTATTCAGCTTCCTTCAGTCATTCAGTAGTACCCCTTTTTAGGTTTGCGGTAAAGGATCTGAGGTACTCGGTGACAGCTCAGTAGATGAGAAATATCTTATTGCTACTTCAGAGCAGCCAATAGCCGCATTCCATAGAAATGAATGGATTAAGGTAGAGTGATGGTTTCTCTTTTTTTCTGATGACTCACCTTACATTCATCTTTCTGTCACTTTCAGGAGTCTGATTTACCCATCAAGTATGCTGGCATTTCAACATGTTTCCGGCAAGAAGTTGGAAGCCATGGGAGGGATACCAGAGGTATCTTCAGGTAGGGTAGAGGCTAAATGAATCACTACTTATTTGTTTGTCATTAGTGCTCAATAGTGTGTCAAGTTGTTTTGTTCAGGGTTCCATCAGTTCGAGAAGGTTGAACAGTTTGTAATTTGTTCACCATTGAACAACGAGTCGTGGAAAATGTTTGATGAGGTTGGTCTTTGGTTGAGTAAGTATTCTGAATCTATAAGCAACGAGAAGGCTTAACCAGTTTTAGATGATATTCAACGCCGAAGAGTACTGTCAGCTTTTGGGAATACCGTATCAGATAGTATGCATTGTGTCAGGTGAACTCAACAATGCGGCTTCGAAGAAGTACGTTTTGAAACCTTTCCGATTTTGAGGGGTAATGAAATAAGTCACTCTTAAATTGAGAATTCTTAATTTATTACTGTTTCAGTTTCTCGTTCCACTTCTATTGTTTGTCATAAGGCTGTATAAAGTAAAGAAATAATAGTTAGGAGCTATATAGGAATTATAAAATATACATGCGAGAGAAGTACAGCCTATAGACTGTGCTAACCACATCAGCCAAAATGACTTTAAATAGCGCTGTTTGGTTTTTGATGATTGCGGTAGAAACTACTCACAACAGTTTTTTTTTTTGCATTTTCACAAGCGATAGACTGCTCTGCATTTAGGCGAATTTGCATTTTAGGCTCGATTTGGAAGCGTGGTTCCCTGGCTCGGGAGCTTTCCGTGAATTGGTATCATGTTCAAATTGTACGGATTACCAAGCTCGTCGGTTGAAAGTTCGTTATGGAATGACGAAAAAGATGGATGGTGAAGTGAGTTGCGTTGAATGACTACAATTTCCGTTAGATAAGCCCTGGCCAATGTCACGTAAAAACACCTCCGCTCGTGCAGTGTACTTGCGTACACCCTAGAAACTACCGTAACTTTGCCTATAGGGTAATTCGATGCCCTGATTACGAAAATGACATTCATTTTTAGCGGTGGCGCCATCTGGCGCCAGTTGGCGTCACCTTGTCACGACCCCTGTTTTCACCAAATTTGGTGTAAAATTCCATGCAGAGGTTTTTGTTGGAGGGCGTAGACTAACGGAAAATAGGCGCCAGGGCTCCAGCGCTAGAATTGAATGTCATATTCGTAATCAGGACACCAAATAACCCCTATACAGAAGTTTACACCGAATTTGGTGAAAACAGGGTCGTGACAAGGTGACGCCAACTGGCGCCAGATGGCGCCACCGCTAAAAATGAATGTCATTTTCGTAATCAGCATATCGAATTACCCCTATGGGCAAGTTACGGTAGTCTCTAGGTGTACACAAGTACACTGCACGAGCGGAGGTGTTTTTACATGAAATTAGCTTGGGCCTATTATCTGCCGGCAGGGTAATCTCACTCTAAAATAACTAGTACAAGTTTTTTTTTTCAAAATCTAATTTTGGTTTCTTCGAGGTTCCTTTTGTGCACATGCTGAATGCAACGATGTGTGCTACTACACGAGTATTGTGCGCTTTACTAGAAAATTATCAAACTGAAGACGGGATTACTGTACCAGAAGTAAGCGATAATCTCTCTTGATCCTGATCCTGTCTCATGCAGTACTATGAATGTATGTATTCAAATTTAGATTCTCCATCCATTCATGCCAGAAAAATACCGTACATTCATTCCATTCGTGAAAGCAGCACCGATTGACGAAGAGGTGAAAAAGAAGGGTGGAAAATAACGAATTGATTCCCGTGCTACAAATAGTCTTCTATTCTATAATATGTTTCTGTTCTGTTTGTCTAAGTCACTTCTGTTTCGATATGCACCGCTTATTCCGTGGCTCTATCGCCTACATTCCTGATGTGGTTTGTTGGATTTTGATGAGCATATTGTTACTTGTTTTGAAATTCTCCTTTATATTGGCATGGGCTTTGTTGAGAATGTGTTCTGGTATTAAATCGTTGAGCTTACATATTGTGTTAGTAAGCACTGGGTTTTCAAATTCATATGTCATAATTCTGATTCAAAGCAAATCACGAGCCATTTTGTTCTTGCTTCCACACCCACCTCGTAGCTCCTTCCCTTAAAACTGGATTATCTTGTCGTTAGATGGAGATGTAGCGATGTGCTACACGCCCCCAGCCCTTTACTGAATAAGCTCCTTCAAGAATTTCGAGGTAGTAGCTGAATAGTCCTCATTTGCGGATCTACATAATATTCCGGCATTTTCTGGTGTACGTTCATGATTGCAAGTAATTTAGCCGCTACAACTCGTGCTTTTTAGCTAAAGAAGACCTCAGTGATGTAGACAGGGTACCCGACAGGAGGCCCGTCGCGCGACAAGAGTACAGTGCATGATGTGCGATAGACCGTGCAATGGTTCGTTCTATTCGCGACTTGACGCGGAATCACTACAGTACGCGCCGTGACTCGTCCGCTGGCCCTGCTTTCTTGTGACGCGCCGAGCCTCCTCTAGTGTACCGATGTAGACGTTGCCTCTAAAAGGGGCAAGTGTTTGATTGTCCATGTTGGTAGCCTAGAGTTGAAATCATATAGCATGCTCTTTCATGCATAAAACTTCATTGTAAAAGAATATCAGGCTATCCTTAGGTCAATTTATTTATTCAGAATGCTTCCAGTAGGCGTTGTCTGTATCGCGTGAGGGATGGGAAGAGAGTGGGAGAGGCACGGCAAAGTTGTTCATCACAACAACAGTTGTCCAATTCTTTGCAAGGAGGGAAAACTGGGTTGGATGAACCGTTTCCTTTCCTGAAAGAAGACCAAAGCCGGTAAGAAAACGTGAATATTCATCGCGGTTCTGAATTCCTTGACTGCTTCTACGTTTGCCCCTCCCCCCCAACTATACCAAAACTATACTTGAGCCTTCAAATGTTCCTCCAATATCAAGCATGCGTCTAGTCTGCGACAGTCTGAGAAGTCTGTCTATGCTTCGCCTCCTATACTATTCCACTCTGGATTGCCTTTCAGATGAGCTCAACGACCTAGAAATCTATTCAAGAAATCTGAAGGAAGTTTTTTCATGAAGAAATCTTATTCAAGGGATGCCTTCCGATATTGGCCACAATCCTATGAACTCTCCGTCAATGTGTTGGAAATCCAGACCCTTGTATTATCCTAGTCGCCAGGCGTTGCCATGGTGAGTAGTCCTCTGCATGCGCTTGACGGCACTCTGCTGTTCCTTTGCCTCGTCATGACACAACTTTGATATTTTTTGTGCACCTAATCTAAGAAAGAAAAGACAGCCGTACAAATATATAATTCAATGTTGAAGTGATGTATAAATTTCACTTGCAGTTCGTTTCTCCTATTCACCAATTTTCGAATTCCAAATTGCATAGCGGACCAAAATTACGGGAAACGCTCACCAGAGTTCTTCGTTTTTTGAGTCTCATTCGATTAGGCGATCAGGCGAGTAGGCGAATAGGCGATTAGGCGATCGCTCAATGGGCGGAGCAACAAATCAATACGTATCCTTCTCTGATCGCCTAATCGCAAGTACGATCGCCAACTATGAACACTCCATTAGCCTTTTGTATCAACAATTCCGACAGATATGTCCCGCTGGAGCGAATCTATCTACAGCGAACCGAATACATCGAGGGATTCGCATCACGGGTTTCTTACGGAGTTGGACGCTCGCCTCTATGAAGGAGTGCCTATGAACGGTTTGCGTGCACGCATATCTAAGTTTCTCTTCTATGTGAGAATATTGTTCTATAGACCCGCTACTGGACGCTGAGGCAGGCGAATGGGCGGCACGATTCGTGCACCTACGTGTGCGAGGAGTGAAGTGCAGGATGTCAACAGGAAGACCAGATGGAGGCGGAAGCAATGGTAATTTCGACATTCCGGAATAATCCTAGTTCATTTTTCAGGCATATAATAGTGTTTCCAGGAGGCACACGCAAACTACCCAACGAAGTCGCTACCACGATGTTGCCAGCAGCGGCCGAAGCGAACGCGGTTCGTTCGAGTAGGACGTCACCAGTGAAGAAAGGCTCCAGCTCAGCAGGCGGTGACTCATTCCACATCCGACCATTTGCCCAAATTAAAGGATATGAAAAGATAACAATGTAAATCCCTATTTTTGGTTCGATAAAATTAATCGATTTGTGAGCTTTGATTGAACTATTTCTTCTCGTAACGTAAAGTATATGAAAAAGGGTAATAGTGGTGTTAAAGGAATCTTGCGCGGAAAAATCATGATTCTATTTCAGCCATAAATCACTGGCTTGAGACTCATTATCCACGATAATAGTGAAAAGAACTGAAGTATTGCTTTCGTTTTGATTAGAAATTCGAAAACTCGAAAAGGCTGCTACGCGTTCGAATTGCCCACGGACGTCTTTCACGAATGCTGGCGACGGGGATGCTTCCACTTGGTTCTTGGAGTGCATTCACTAGAAGCTCTTTCTGGCCTTCTGCTTCGTTGCATTCACATCTTACACTTCTACTCCATCCTATTCCATCGATCGATTTGTCTCCACTCTCCGAAATCGCGCGCTTTAACCCGATTCTCTCATTGCGTCGCCTGGTACGTAGCCGGCCAAACGCCGTCTTCTTTCCATGCCTCGCCTGGCTCTGCCTCCTGGTCCTTCGATGGTCCATAACGTGTAGTTTTTGTACGTTTGTTTCTCTTCAGAAACCGAATCTTCATGCGTGAAA